AACTGAGCGATTTACCTTTAAAGCTTTGTCAACATTTTGTGACACCGACTGAACTTATTATAACATTTTATGTGTGGGTGGTTGGAGGTCGCCATTTGTAGATTTTATTTTCTTTCTTTCCTTTCCTCTGTCATTTTTGTCTGTCTCTTCCTCGTTGTGAATGGCCGTTATTGTATAGATATGCTTCTCTTTACTTAAACGAACAAAAAACCCAACAACAAACGAACGGACGGACGGACGGACGGACGGACGGACGGACGGACGGACAGACAGACAGACAGACAGACAGACAGACAGACAAACAAACAAAAAGATAGACAGACAGACAGACAGACAGACAGACAGACAGACAGACAGACAAACAGACAACTTTCCCTCTTTCGTTTCTCTCTTTGTTTTCCTTGATTTGAATGGCCGTTATTGTGATGACGTGCTTCTCTTTACATAAACTAACGAACAGACAAACACGCAAACAAACAAACAAACGAACAAACCATGTGTCTGGTTGACTATCACAGCCAACCCGGACTGACCGATGCCCGGCGTCGCTGAAGACAGACGCAGACGACACTCATTAGAAATTAATATGTGTGGTTGGAAGGTGCTCTGGTGTGATTTGCCCCTTCTTTCACATCAAACATCTACCGGCATTATCTCTCCTTTTTGATTGCTTTTGTTGTTACTATATTGTAACACCTCTTATCTTCGGTACTTATATGACTTTTTCGTGTTGCAAGTGCCCTAAAACTCTTACTAAAACTAAAAGTAGAAATACATTTCTCCACATTTACACCTTTTGCCTCGGATGGACGGAGGGCGCCACTTTTTAGACCATACTTTTTTTTCTTTCCCTCTGTTGATGTCTGCCTGTTTTGCTTTTATTCTATGCACAAACGACGGATGTTTGGAAGGCCATTATTGTGTCGTCGTCCTTCAGTTAACTCAAACTCAAACCCCAAATACACAAAAAGGACCGTTTTTAGTGTGGATGTGCTTCTCTTTTCTCCGACTAAAAGACGCCTGTGCCCGTTGTTGTAGGGCGCTACTAGAAGGTCATTTTTCTTTACTTTCCCTCTGTTGTTTCTATCTGCCTTTCGTGTTTTTTGTGGGTGGTTGGTGGGTGCTCTGGTGTGGTTTGCTTCTTCTTTCCCATGAAACATCTTTAGTCCTTATCTCCCCTTCTTCTTTTTTATGTTTGTTACTCTCTTGTAACACCTCTAATCTTCTGGCGCTCACATGGCCTTGCAAGCGCCGTAAACCCTCTGCTGAAACTAAAACTAAAAGTCTGTCGTGTTTTTTCCCAGCACTCAATTACTATTGTTCTGTCGATGTTCCCTCTGTTTACCCAAACATACAAACAAACAAACAAACAAAAAGATGCCGGTAGTTCTCAAGACGAGGTGCCGGGCTGTTGGACCCCGTAGTCTGGTCTGTCAATCCGTGCAGGCAGAGTCAGGGCCCCTGGTTTAGGTGCGAGATTTCCCTCTAGACGTTTGGCGCTGATCTCCGAGAAACCCATATCGAGGTCAAGCCCCTTGCGGCTAACACCTCACATCAAAGATTGTGGTGGTCTCTCTCTGTCTCTTTTCTCTATCTTTTCTCTCCATCTTCTCTCTCTTTTTTTGTCTCTCTCTTTTTTTGTCTCTCTCTTTTTTTGTCTCTCTCTGTCTCTGTCTCTGCCTGTCTCTGTCTCTGTCTCTGTCCC